CCTTTCTCCCACGTGAGAATGAATCTGGAGTTCCTGGAAGCCAACGCACGGCACGTACATAGACACGTAGCTCTCGCTGACATTAAATGCTAGAATTTAGTGCTAATGGAAACGCTTTCGTTTCGAAAGAAGCTTTGAGACTGCTATACCGACAACAGGTCTTGGTTCAGTACTTTAACGGGGAGCAGGGACAAAGAAAGCTTCCGGAATGTGCTTCAGTGTTGCCGTATAAAATTGGTGGTGTTTAAATATTTCATTATCACAGCAAGCATTTAAACTGAGTACACAATTTGAATTGGGTCTTAGAACGTTTGTATTGTAGAAATATTTAATGTTTATGTTTTAAAATAGTGATTCTTAACTTTTTTCGCTGATTTACTGCTCGATAATCTATTTTCATAAATTACAGTTTTGTACTAATAGATTGTTTGTAATGGGTTAAAACGTGAAACTAAAAATAAAGGGATAATATTTATTTTATTATTATTAATTATAATTAATTAATGTGTAGTTAATATGAAAAGTGGATTGCGTTGACTAATATATTAATTTTTTAAGAGTTATCTAGTAATATTTGGAGTTTTTAAAATGTTTTGATATGCGTGTTTTCTAAACCACACTAGTGTTCATATTTTTAAATTAAATTCAACCGATATAAGGTACAGGTTTGTTAAGGTTCTTGCTTTTATTCGCGTAGTCGTTTATTCGTAGTTGTACACGGAACAGCTTCTTTAACACAATAAATCCATGATAATCATGTTCGTGGAGAATTCTGACTAGAATTCAAAGCAAGATTTCAAAGGAAACTTGTTTTTCAAAGCTAACAACCATCGGTGCAGTAATGTTCCATGAATTATTGCATTGTGTTCACGCTTCATAAATTTCTTAGGCCGTCCAGAATGAATTCCATTATTCAAATAATACTATAGCTATAAATGCGCGTGTACTATAAAAGTGTCAGAATAATATCTCAAAATGTTTCAAAGAAAACATGTGCGATACTTCAAAATGAACAGTTTTAAAAGAAATTTGATAATAATTAATAATTAATAATAATTTTAGCTTACTTTGCTGTGTTTGTGGATCTTTTTCATTTTTTTAGCATAATACCATAATAATATTTTCATTTCTTTAGTACTGTTACATTCGTTTAGACTTCCTCTATTCAACCATTAATAACCCAGTGCATTTTTGTATCATGACAGTAGAAAATAATTAAAATAAAACGAAAGAATTTCTTTTCATTTTGGCAAAATAATTCAACAGAAAAATAAGGAAAATATATTAGACAAAATGATTAAAAGTACTTAAGCACTTTTACTTCCATTAAAAAAACAATTTCAAAATATGTCCGTCTACTGGATTGTTTTGTATTAACCATCTGTTTATATTTTCAAGAATTCCTTCGAATTTCAGAGAAACAAAAGAAAATCGTTACCTTCCTACTTCTTCGATAATATAATATACGAAATGCCCATATAATACAAGCAAGATTAACACTAAATTTACAGACATTTATTGTATAATTGGTTCTATCGTTGTTAGAAAAATTGATATTCGTTCGTCTAGGTGTAACAAATTAGATGTTCGAAAGTAGACAATTACGATACATATTTGCATATCCACATCAATCAAACTCGATCCAAACATTTACCAAAGAATGTTTATAAAATTCAATATAAGGCAAATTGTACTTGTTCCGTAAATTCAGTGTTAAAGCTTCGAGCCCCGATAGAACGTTATCGAAGCACTTGTCCGAGGCTTCGCACAATAAGGAAATTGCAACGAGGAAAACTGAATTTTTTACGACCTGGCAAAGTAAAATGCCCCTTTATCTCGTTGCCAGCCGGTCAAGTCGGACGATTACACGACAGGGTTTACTCTCATTATTCGTAATTGGTCGTGAGGAGGAAAAGGGACTTGCGGTCATCCGTACAACCGCCTATTCGTGGTCGGCTATTGTCGCAAGGATCTTCTTGCATGTAGGATGTGTACACGGCGGGCAAGGTAGAACCGAACCATGCTAGGAAGCATTTATTCCGACCAAGCTAGCTACCACAGGCTTCCATCGTTAAAATTTGAAAAATTCCCGCTTCTCCCGACGTAACCTCACGACTATAATCCTGCGCGCAGCACCGTTAGAAAAATTGTTAATGACCGCCTCGTTCCGGCCGGGACATTAGGGTGTTCAATGACTGTTACAGAATGATGATGTAATGAGGACAACGGTCCAGTCTAAGCCTGTGCTGTCAATTCCTGCAATCGGGACTCCCTGGAAGAAGCGATATTTTTCATCCTTATTAGTCACGGATCATTTGTACCTTTCTTCCTAAATACCCCGACACCGCTATCGTTTACGGAAAAATCAGCATTTCTTTGGAAACAGCGTATCCGTTGCGGCTAAACCGCAACTGTATTCTTCGCGATACGTAATTGATTAATAGATAAACTTGTTTTTCACTGAAATTATCGTGTTTAGAATATTCAAGTTACCGGAAATCTTGGAGAAAAATGTATTCAACAAAAGTGGTGGAATGTGGAAGAACAAATTTCTTCTGGTTAGAGGAGTTCAACTGAGATTGTATGTTTCTTTAACTGCCATTTTTATGAATTTTGAAAAAGAAGATTTCTTTTGTGCCATAATTGGTGATTTTTGAAATTCATATTTCTATTTTGTTTAGAATTCCGTTTATCATGCGAAATTTTCCTAATGGTGTTTTTTCATTCCATTATCATTCCTTATCTCACAAAATATTATTCAACGCCATCTCGAAATGGCACGAAAAAATTAATCGAAAAACACGAAAAGCTCATACCCAACAATAGTAACTACTGACGATTGAAAGAAATGGAAATATTACTTGTTTACCTTAGAATTACCATAAGATATCATTACACATGGAATGCTCTAATAAAGATTCTACTCGTTGAAGAACTTTTCAGTTAACGAAACCTTCTCCGGCGATTACAATGCGACACCGTGGACGCACAAAATCATCAGTCCAGTTACTGCATGTAACGCGACTCGCTTTCTAGAAATTACGCTCAACACACCGCCATGATAAAATATCGTAATGTAACCAGCCATAAAGAGCGCGATAACCGCTGTTCCATGTAATACGTTGGATACGTCTCGCGGTGCTGCGTCCGAAGTGCGGCGTACAATACGGGTACACGCGTTGCCTTTAACTGCACGCTTTGTACACCTTGTACCAACGATGACGTATGCGTATTATACCTTTGCCTTTCTCTCTCTCTCTCTTTCCGTCTCGTCCCGTGTAAATACACTTCAACGTCGATGTAAATTTACGCATTTCTCACACGCGCCCACGCGCGACCACTGCGCTAACGTTTCGTTTGCGAGTTTACTTGCAGGCTGCTTTCACACTACGATTCCTAAATCGCGATTCACGTCCTCTGATACGTATCGCGATACGCACTTCGAGCATCGTACCGCCTGTGGTAGAACTGCAGTAGTAATAGTAGAATTTCCGAAAGTCACAGATTCTCGAGATACTTTTCGAGATCGGTCGAGCCCTTGAAACTATTTTACCAATCACAAACCCACACACTTCCTGAAAGGATTTTTTGACTTTCCGAAATTCTACTATACTATTGCAGTCCTACCGCAGGCGGTCCGGTTGAAAAAAAGCTATAGTTTTCGAGCGTGTTTAGCTGCAGCACCCCCACTGTACGATACACGAGGTGCATAGCGCGATACATATCAGACGACGTGAATCGCGTGCATTCAGGGATCATAGTGTGAAAGCAGTCTTACCCGGCGTGCGACGCTCGCGGAATGGCGATACGATACAGAGCTCATCTCGGACGTTTCATAACCACGTTAATGGGGAATTTAGATTCTTTTCGGCAAGATTTATTGAACGTTTTCCTGGTAATTCGTGTATCCCAAGTTTGAAAATTTGTATTGCCACGATACTCGTGAAGCTGATGTCTTAATATCGTGGGTGTACGCGTGAGCCAAGACTCTACGAATTAGTTGCAACCTCTTATTTCAGGTTGTTTTGGCCGGCATTACGCTGTGTTGAGGCCACATTGTGCCTGATTATTACGGGTATATTATCTGGACGCTTAAGTGCTCTCTGTGTAACGTGAAATATAAATTTGAGTTTTTTTAGGTTTTGTGAATGTTCTTTTCTCTTGTAGCAGAGATACGTAATTGATGCTTACTTGATTTTTTCCTTTGATGTTTCATTTAATTCGTTAGTTTATTTTTGTTAATATTACGCGAGTAAGAATTTTCTATAAAGTAATACCACCGCGAAAAGGATAACAATACGCGCGCGATAAAGAAAGAGCGTTCGTAAGAACTCAAAGACAGGGAGTTGAAAGACATTAGTCAAAACACGGACAATGGGATTGAGTTCACGCAGACAGATCGTAAAACAGACAATAAGTAATTTAACAAGTAAATAAAAAATTTTTCCAGATACAGTCCCATTTTAGAAAAACTCTAATTAGAACATGTTCTGTCGTTATTTAATTAAATGTAAGTGTGCTTAATTTTTCAAATTTGATTTTCGGAAAATGAATATTTAAAATGAAAGCAATGTTATTCTTTGCAATTTATTTCCTCAACTCGAAATCTAGTATAAGATGAAAATTTATAATGATATTTTTAAAACGTCAACTGATTCAAATATGAAAGGCTTCCTATATTTTCGAAATATTTTTCGATTCTTTCCTTTCCGAAATATCTTCGCATAGATACAACCCGTTTATTACACCGAAGGTTCATATTAATCACACGTCATCATTTTGTTCAACCATGAATGTATAAACGTTTGACGATGAAAAATAAGAAAAGACTATTGTCTCGTACCAAATTTTTTATCTCATCGATTCGCGTCGTCGGAGAGATCAATCACTAACGGATACTTATCTCTAGCTCGGTAGAAAATAATTAAAGGAAAGTTAACAGGATTTGTCACGGGAATCGAGAAATTCGTCACGAACCCGACCCCGGACCTTTTTTTTACCTTTTTGTCGTTTGACGTTCAAAGTCACGTCCCCACTCGAGGAAGGCTCGTTCCCCTCGATCGGATACTGAACAAAATAATCCAGCGAAATGTCGTCACGTGTATAGCAAGAATAACACTCTCGACGGATCGTTACATGAGTTTTATTCATCATTTTAAATGGTTGTGCTCCGAACCTAATTTTTACATTCTCGAAATCCGAATCCGAAACTTCGAAGTGTTGCGAAACCCTCAAAGCTATCGAGACGACTCGAAACTCCCGGAAGTCGAAGTGCTAGCTTTGTTTCGTAAAAGGAATACCTTACATTAGGAACTCAGGTCAACATTTTTGCATAAATTCTTCCTCACCGCGGCGAAGCATACATAAAAACGTAACAGTACCTATACAAAAACATGTCGTTGGACTTTACATCGGGGCACCATTCTTTCTTAAACTCTTTTTACATATACCGATACTATTCAATGAAAAAAGACCACATTTTAAGTTTCAGGTTTAGGAATTCATAATTTTACACGCTATATACGTATATATAAAGTTAAGCAATACATAGAATAATTAAGCATACAAATCAAACTCTTTCATGTTCATCCACTTCTTATCCCTTTTCTTCTTTTTCCCAATTGGCTCGAGATACTTCACTATTACTTCGTAATTGCATAAAATTATGCGGTATACAAGAATCTTACAGCGACATACTTTTGTGGGTACAATTAATTTCTTTTAATAAGTAACATGTACTTTTGAAATGTCAAAACAGGTTTACAATTAAGGACTCTTTTCATTTTTAAAATGATGTTTTACCGAATAATTATGGTAATCGTATTGAATTATATCATTTCGAAAGTAAAATTCTTGAAAATCTGGATGAAGAATTTCTAAAAATGGCAAGGATACGATGAAGATGTCTTGTAAGTTTATGAAAACAGTGATTATCACATTAAAATTATCTTGGATAATTTTAATGGGAAATAACGAGATAAAATGCTTCTTTAAAGCAGTATGTAACTACTACTTTCCATAAACGGCTCCGAACATTTGTACTTTTGAAAAATTGATTAGTAGTTGAACTAAAAATACGACCATTATTTCAAAACCTGCAAAAAAATATTGTGACAAGTAAATTACAATTCTATCGAAAAAATTATACAAAAACATGTAATTGTATAAGGATATTAATTTTCATATTTTTATATCTAACATATACAGATCCACCAATGATTTTCCAATCTATCGAGCGACCTTATAAAAATTCATATACGATTAACTAGTGTTGTTCCCCCTAAAATGATGACCCAGCACCTTTATGGTCTACGATAGAATCTATGAATCGTAAAAATATTTTTAAAAAATGCAAAATGTTTATTCCAACCTTTGGTACTTCTCCAAAGGGAGATCATGTAATATTTTACATGTCCCGACCTCTAGACATTATTCCTGTCTCGCGGTACCCGCGCATCCCGCCTCTAATAATGATCCACGCAGTCATCAACTTAATTTCAGACCACATTACCATAGATGAACCTTCAAGATCCCAGTTACGATCGACTAATCGTGAAACGCGTTTCTTGCCCCGCGACAGTTGAATATGAACACTTCATTGGATGAAAAACCGTTCAAGGGCGAAGCTAGTAGTTCAAATCGTCTCCTATCTCCACGCCGTGTTACGTCGGCAAACGTAGGTATATACCTATACACAGTGTTCTGATAAGACACTATTTTTCCTGAATATTTTTTGTTCATAATAGTATAACGGTGGAGTACATAATGCCCTTATTTAATTGAAGAATAATATATTACTTCTTTAATAATAAAAGAATATACCTCGATCGGAGTGGCAGTCAACTTGTTAACATTAGAACTACCGAGAACTCAAGTTCACTTCCTTTTATTCTTCTAATGATATTATAAGATGTACACCTGACCCTTGATACACGCGAAAATCCGTTCCACGTGGATTCGTCTTACGCGAAGAAAAATCGTATAAATAGAATTCGTCGCTACAAGAGAAAACAAAATATTGAAAAGAAAAGTTGGCACAAGTTTAAGAAGTACATATTTATTTCACATAACCGAGAAATAACAGTAATGACACTTCAGAAAATAAAAGTTAAAAAATTTTATCCGATATTACTGAATTCAGATCGCGTACATCAAGATCGCGTATAAAAGATACCGCGTAAATCGAGGATCAGCTGTATTTATTCAGTCTTTCATTGGTTTATATTCTAGTTCGTACATTACCAAATCAGTTAATTCAGTCATTTATCTGAGAAACGCTTGTACTTTCTCAATGATTGTAAAAGGAGAAATCGGGAATAGGTCATTTTGTTCTGCCCGGTAGGTCTAGTGTTAACCCCTGCCTTATAAATAAAACTTTAAATAAAATTTAACATGCATAAGTAATACTTGATTTCTTTGAACTGAAATTCTGCTTTTTCAATGAATTATTAATGGCAAAATAGTCATATCGGTTATAGCCGAGAAATAAATCGTAGGGCAAGGGGTTAATAGTCATCCAAGACGTGATAGGCGCACCGTACACCTCCAACACAGGCGAAAGCTTGCCTGGTGCTATGGGACACCCTGTAGATATACATACACTCTTCTTCAATCAAGACCGGAGTGGAACACAAGCGAACAACCGCGATCGTTAACGATGTCTAGCCGTATTCCGACTCTCGTAAACGTTTTCTCTCCCTGGACATTATTTCACGCGGACTGTGTTGTTTCGGCGGTGTTTCGACTTAATCGAGCGAGCTTCGGTCACGCCCACCGCGTAATTCACGCGTGTTCCTTAATGTTCTCCCCGACAATCCACCGACTTAGGTGATGAGCTTGACCCTCGCGCGAACCGACATCTTTCATTCGGCCCTGCGCGAAACCGACTACTTCGGAAAGCGTATATCCAACTGCGCAAGCTGTTTCGGGATAAATGACCCGGACCAGTTTGACATGACGCGCGTTGATAGCGCGTTAAGTCTGGTATGCACTCGAAAATATTGTTGGTGATTATGAAGTACTATGTAGTACGTAATAGCTTTTTTTGGGCTTGCGAGACATTCGATTGATAAACAGAGAAATAATATAATATGTAAACACTTTGTATTGGTAAAATATAGTAATAAATTTATTTCGGCATTCCTGGCTAACAAGAAAAGGCATCGAACCTGGAAATTCAAAAAATTATGAAACTTGGTGTGTAAGTAGAATAAGTCATGCCTAATATATTGCAATTTTCTTTCGTGTCGACTTTACTATGAAGGGGTGAAACCACCACTTGTAGGAAATGCAAATTTTTCTTTCCCATGGATTATCATGAAAACAGTAAGAGATAGCGAAAAGAAATTTAAAGAAAAAATACATTGTCCTTTCGCGTCGAAATCAAAATTTTGATAAATTTGAACTTTTTTAAAAATGCAGTAAATGACAAAGGCACATTGGCAACATAAAATAAATGTGTAACAGGAGCAAATAGCAAACAGAAAGAAGCATGTAAAGGATATTGCCTAGGCATGGGTAACAATATTAAAAGAAATGAAAGTTGAAACATATTATAATTGAATAATATATTCTAACTAAAGTGTAATACATACTGTAATAATATATTAATAACTTAAGCTATTATATGTACGTCATCCATGAATTATAGAATTAATTTACTTATTTATGAATTATTCATGATACGGATCACCTGAATAAGTAAATTTTCAAATAATAAAGTATTTATTTAAAGAAAGTTACCTCCATTTACAGAATTTATTAAACACTGCAAAATTCTGGTCGATAACGAATCGAGTACGCGTAGGCGTCGAAGAAGAGCCGCAATGGCGTTACCTACATATGTAATATTATGTAGATGTACATAATTACTTTTTTCCACGATTTAATTCGAATGTAAAGTATAATTCACCGAATCGATTTAAATTCCTAAGATTCCCGATCCAAGAGCTCAAGCATTTGTTTGACCAGCTGTACATCCACGTTACAAACGTTCCGTGTTAAGGAAGAATAATTAGATTGCTTGAAAACCTTACAGCAGTAATCTCGTAAAACAAATCGAACAAGCAATTTAAGCGATCGTTTTCGCCATTAAGGCAGATTAGATACCAGAATTACACGACGATAAGGATAAGAGATCGAACTGATTATGTCATTGGTCGACATGAGTTCGGTTAACGGTGTACCATCTGTTTCCCTCAAATTGCATCGACGAAGATCAATAATTGAGAACGAAAATTTCCTTTGAATTCGATTCATTTCGCTGCGAACAGTTTCGTCGAGCGATCGATATTTCTTAAACACCGATAAAAAGAAAGAATAATCCCAATTGCAGGCGCATCCGAAAACACATCTAACGAGCAATCAGTATGCAAATGAAATGGTTTATGGGCCAATTACAAGGACATCCATAGATCGAAAACTTGTTTACTGTTTTTAGAGTCCCATCGGATTCCCAGTGAAATGAAAGATAAAAAAAAGGAAAACTATATTTATTAACTGTACTTAAACGCATGGAATACGCGCACGCTATCAGTGCATAATGCCGGCAGTTTATAAACGGGATAGTCGGCTTTTTCTGTTCGATATATTGAACCGTTTCACCGTATCGATATCCTAGATGGCGCATTAGTGGACGCGGCACGGATGTTTTATACCCGTCTACGAGCTATAATTTGTGTGTTTAATCCTCGAATAAAGCGTACCTCCGCCAGCGGCCATTATGAGAATCGACATTTCTCGTGAGCACTGTAATGGTAATGGGAGGAATGCACAGGAATGCGTAGCAGAGTGGACCCGGCGTGTTTCATTCGCCGGGACAGTGAAAGGGATGAGTAGATAATTGTCTGCTATTTCTTTCGGTCGCTAGTGCAGCGACGCTGGATTCCCTATGTCTTCAATGGCGCTCTTATGCGTACCCCGGGATAAAATCATTTTTCCAATTAACCGCTGAGACAAGGGGGACGCCAATTTTCTTACCGGGCGCATCTAGAAAAACATTGGATATAGGTACTCTCTGCTACGCGACGCACGGGGGGATTCGACGACATTTTTACTGGGGAAAAAATATAGGCTCCTTTTGTACGGCTCTTCCCGGTGCTTCGATTGGAATAATTATTGTGTGAGAATGGCTGCGCTGTT